TACAGTCCTGTTGACAACCATTATTTTCACTTTTTTTATATACTTATTTTTAACCACACATTTACACTAAAATATTTTGTCCGTAAACTCAAAACTTTTATGTACTTTTTAACCAAACACTGTCTTAAAAATCACTATTTAAAACTCTATTTCCCGACTAATGATTGTCAAACAAGGGCTAAATAGCGTAAAGAAATTGTAATTTTATTTATTATACTGTTCAATTTTTAAGTTAAAATCAATAATTAATTTTAACCACATATTTCATGGAATTCACTATTTTTCAACCTCACATTTCATCAACATTTAGCAAAATTTACTAAAAAATTGATTTTAATCCTTACCAAATATGGGTTAAATAAAAAATGCGAAGTGATTGTCTGAATTATCTTTTTTTTTTTTTATAATCTTAGATTAAACCCCACTAACTCTTACATGTTATATTAGTTTAGCTTATATGTACTTCAAGTTGTTTGATTAAGAGTCTGTTTGATTCTCATTAACTTAGAGAAAAACGTGTTTTGAATATTACTTTTAGGAGAATGTATGATTGAAAATAATCATATAACAAACCATAAAATAAATTAATGGATGTCAAACAGACACTAAATTGACTCGATAACACTCTTAGTAGATAGCGATTAAGAATATGTATTTCAGATGATTTCCAAAAATGATATTCATGTCTTTCTCCAAAGACAAATATTTTAATGATAAATAAAAGGGTATCAAACCTGTTTGAGCCCTGAACTTTATGCATTGTTTGCATATGGTCCTTGAACTTTAAATTGTAGAAATTTAGCCATTTAACTTTATAGTATTAATCTGTTAGTCAGATTTTAGCTAAAGTACTCAGGTTTGTCCAAACTAGCGACAAGATTGATTTAATGAACGAAGGCTTTATAGATGTTCATAGTGAAAATCATACTCAAATACTTAAGAGAAAAAAGTCCTAAACCGAATAAAATATTTTTAATGATACCTCAGTACTTTGAAGAACTTCAACTATTCAATTTAATGTAAGCATTCCACAAGCCAAGTCAGTATCAGGATAAATGCAGTAAAATTGAGTAACTAAATTTCAACAATTTAAAGTTGAAAAACAACTTATAAAATTGAGGGATCAACAAGGTTTTTAACCTACATAATTAGGGGTGCAGTGCAGCCACAAAAGTGTCGTTAAAAAAAAAAAATCAATTTATAAGCATACATATAACTTAATTTTCTATATACATCTTCATCAACAATTCAAATGAGGTTATAGTTATTGTTAATTGGTACTAAATTAAATACTTGATCCTCGTAGAAATGATATTTGGACACGTGCACTTTATTACTTTTGACACGATATGTTTTTTACGCCATTTCCATTTCCATAACTATAATTTATTTATTTAGTTTCTTTTAGTCATAACTTTAGTTCGATTTTTACTGGTTTATTTCAATTCAGTTTTCTTTTCAATATTACAATGCTTTCTGGTTTCTTTTCAAATCCCATAAATGCAAATTTTGAGATACGGTGATTTATTGTCATTTGATCTGGAGATCAAAAGTAGATTCAAACAAAGATGTAAAGATCATTTAGAAACCAAATAAACAACTACAAATCACAATTCTCAAATCAAAAAGAGTCATGTAGTCGGCACAAGCCGTGTACTGAGCCGGGAGCAACGAAGATGATTTATCACTTGGACAATTCATTACACCACATGTTCCTCTGAATCAGTCCAACATTGTATATCCTCCGTTTGAGCAATGGAATTTTCAATTGTGTGCCAATATCACTCCCCTATTCCAAAATGATATGTCACTTATATGGGAAGGCACGTAAGAATCCTCATACGCATGTTTATTGCTTTTTGAACATGTGCCAAAATTACAACTTCCATGGTGTGTCGAATGAAATCGTCAAGCTAAGATTTTTCCCAAGTACCTTCGAGATGGAGTGAGAGAATGGATAGATTCACTATCAGGTTAAACATTCGAACATGGAATGATCTCACATATAAGTTTATCATCAAGTACTTTCCTCTGATGAAAGTCACTAAACTTAAAATTGAGATCTCATTTTTTCAGCAGGAAGATTTAGAATATTTCTACGAAGCATGGGAGAGTTTCACTGATATGCTGAGAAAATGTCCAAACCACAGACTAAAGAAAGATTTGCAAGACTAGTATATCTACTTGAGATTGAACCGTCTAGTCGTATAGCGGTTGATTCAGTTGCAAATGGATCAATCACAATGAATCGCCAAATGAAATCATTAATTTCTTTGAAACAATGGCAGCTTACAGTGCATATTCGAAAGAGTAATGTACAAGAAGCCAGGGCCGGCCCTGAGGCGAGGCGAATGAGGCC